CTTCATTCCTTTCTTCGGAGCTTCGTATCGTACGTAACGATTCATCGGTACGTTGCAGGCCCATTTGCAATATTTGTATAGCATTGCACAGAATCCAAACCAAACTGATTTATGAACCATCAAACTATCCCTAGAAGATCATGGAGGTGATGTTGAAATTACTAGAGGAATCAGGATTTGGCTGTTCAACACAAAATCTGGTAAACTTTTCTTACTAGTAGTAGTACTACAATGCTAGTAGAATAGGGCACAAGTTTACAAAAATTTACAGTTTTCATCCCATGCAACAGTTTTCTCAAATCATCAATCTGAATTTTGTCACACTTAGTACTACTCCTGTGCTTGTCCTCCATGCATGTCTCCTGCTCCTCCTCCTCCTTAAACGATGTGCTTGTTCTCCTGACCTTCATTTGTGATTTATTGCTAAAAGCAGCCAGTCACTCCTATGCCTCTGCATAGTCACCAACCAAGGAACTCCTGGTTGTTCCATACAGCAAGTTCAACAATAATTTAATGAATTACCTCTTGATAGGAAATTTGATTCATATTTTTTCATTATATCCTTGAAACAGCAGTGAAGTTATTGGTTGGTGCCATAATTGTTCACTATCCTTTGATTGCTAAGTTTGTGAGCCTCCTTTTTCACATTATTGAGAGTTTTGCTTCCATGTTCAGCTTCTGATGGATTTCATTTCAAATTGCAAAGTACCAATCACGAGTAATGAAACATAGCTTGTGTGTTTCTCAATTCTTATTAATTCCAAATGTGTTCGATGACTACTACTGAAGGGGTACCTACAACTATTTTTGAAACATAATACTTAATATGCAATAATATGGTATGTTACTTATGTTACAATTACTGTACAATTTTGTCCCAAACTTCCCACAAATTTTTAACATGTGGTGGTGAATTCAATCCTGGCTAAAAAAACAAGACCTGACTTTAACCTCGTATCACCAGATATTTAAGCAGTGTGTACACGGATATCCATCTTCGAGAGATTCAAATCTTCTTCCATGGAACTAATATCTGCAACATACTCATCGATATTTTCCTTGTCTTCCACATTTGGTGAGCTAGCTAAGACATCGATCACAAATTCTCTTTTCCCCGTAGTACTCAATCGAATCGAGGTTGCAACGTCTTCGAGTGACATACCTTTCCTGGCAATGCGATTCGTGACGTCAGCCAAAATTCCTGGGCTATAAAAGGGACGTGCAGTATTTCGAGATTTAGTTCCAATTGCATCCGGCATAAAACAGAAGTGGATTAGCAACAATTATTTAGACCAATAGTTAACACCGATGAAGAAGTATGCCTGAAACAAGCTCAGCTATGGTGAAAGTTACTTACCGATCATCTCCAACACAATGAATCTTCATTCCCATTACAGCCTTCTTCTTCTCATCCGTGTCTCTTCGAGTTAGCCTCGTAGGCTGTATATTAAGTTCTTCGAGATTCCCGTTGTTCAGAGATTTGAAAAAAGAGCTTGATTCTTCTTTCGGCAGCGCTACATGCATTTGAATTATAAATTCATCTCCCAACCGCACCATTTTTGAATGCGTAACGTTTCCTCCTTGACTGGCGACATGACTAGCAAGCTGTGCAACCATTCCTGGTCTGTCTTTGCCCGCTGCCGAGATGCTCACGTGATCGAGATTCCGATCCATTTCAACTGGTGTTGTATTAAAAGCATCCAGACCTTCCATAAAAATTTGATACGAGGCGTTCGTAACAACACCGCCAGCCACATCATCTGCATGAATCGCATCTCCGCCTCGCATCGCTGATAAGACTGCGGTCCACAGCAACGACACACCAGCCACGAAAGGAATTCGAAGGTGCATTGGCATGAAGGCAAAATTGACAAGCGTTGCTGGAACCCAAATTTTCCACAGAGCTATCAAATCTTCTTTCATATTCGTGCGGTAGTCACTCAAAACGCGACTAATGTCTGGTTTTCCGTCATTGCCTTTTCCGCCCATCACAAGTTCTTTCGTAATGTAAAAGGCAGGAAAGTACATGAGAGGGTGGTGAACACATTGATCCAAAAAAGTTTGCAATCCTAAATTGCATAATCCTCGAATATCCTTCACTTTTTGTCTGAGGGGCTTGGCGGCAAATTTGGCAGCGTTTGGGAAAAGTCTACCAAAAATTGGAACGTAAAGCGTGTATTGAATACCTCCCAAATAGACAAAACCAAACGCTGCAAAAGCAGCATTTCGTCGCCAATCGATTTTCTCCTTGCGCTCCACTACTTTTTGAACCAGCAAATCAGAAAAACTTGTCTTGAATCCGGACAAGACAACTCCGAATGCGAGGGGATACTTCGCAGGAGCGGAGCGGGCTGTCGACCACACCCGAGAGGCGCCTGCTGTACGCATTGCGGTGGATAAACTCCTCCGAGCAACTCCAGAAGCCGACATTGTTCGTTATTGTTGTGATAATTTCCTCGCTCCACTGCTTTGAATTTTTCTTCTTTCTTTTCTATTTTTTGTAACTTTTGATCGAGGTTGCTACGACGGAAGAGAAGAGGTTGATGTGAACTGAGGAAAACGAAAAATTCAACGCAAGGCGTTTGGAACTAACAGTCTTCAAGAATTCAGAAAAAACAAAAACGTGCATTCTGCAAGAAGAACAAGTGCACGTGACAATGATTCTCATTAGAACAGAAGATTCGATGGTTAGAATTGTTGGCGCGAATGCTTCAGAAAATAATACTATTTCCGTCAGCAGATGGATGTTCATCCCCACAGCCTCTCCAGCTAAGGTGACTTCCGTCCGTTAGTCAACCGTAAATAAACGATGCATCATTGATTTTACAGATGATTGATTCGAAGCCGAATCATCAAATTAATTACGCGTCTTGATCTGATATTTAAAAGATTGTGATAGAAAGATCGAAATATTTCTGACGACGGACGGACGTTTCATACTTGATTTCGGTCCGTGCAGGAATATCCTCACTTCGCTGACGTGCCTGCTTCGTAAGGAACCATTGTTTCGTACTTCAGGTATCTCTAAAGCAAGATACGATACTATAGGATTGTCTGGAACCATGTCGATTTCAATTTTTGGGAAAAGAATTAGATTCCCAGGTCCCCCTCCTGGTACCGAAAATTGTGATTGGTTTTTATTAAAAAAATGTGATCAGAAATAACAAATTTATGATCAATTATTTTAAAGTGATTTGTGTAAAATTTCTACTAGTAGTCCCAGTACTATTGTATAGCTATGGCGCTTAAAAAAACACGATCGGATCGTGGATTTTGAATCTGATATTCATGCACGAATATTGCTGATATCTTCCAGCACTGTTACTACTACTAGTAGTAGTAGGACCCCCCAACTCCCCCACATGACCATGATCCTCTCTTTATTATGAACACTAGTATGGTGTGCTTATCTCTGTTAAGCAGCTGATGGAGACCAAGTTACAACTCAAACTGTCAGTTCAAGACTAAAACAGGCAGTTATACCACGGTTGAAATAACACAGCAGTGTGTAGTAGATAATGCTGGGCCATCTTTTTACCATGTAATGACTACTTTGACTCAACACATTTTAGTCCCACAATGGACACTCCTTACCTCAACTGTTACTAATTGTGTGAACTCAAAATTTGGCAATGCACTACCTTAATTGTCCATTTGTTTGTTTCTGGTTGATCAGAAGGCACAGTGGTGGATGCATTTCTCCATTCTTTAACACAACAATGCATCAATCCCATTTCTTTCTCTTCAAATTGAATGAGAACAATAAATCCTGTGAGCAAGAAAACCCCAGCTAAAAATTGATGATAGCACTGAACAAATAAGAAGCAAGCAGCAAAACAAGAAGCAAACTGAGAAACTCAAAACACCAGACTTCCTTGTTGTTGAAGACCTCCACAAGAAGGATGTGTATCAACAATACCCCAAGATCCCCTGACCCAGGGGAGCACTCTTGTTGGATGAAATTAAACAGGAGGAAGAAGGCAAAAACAAAGAATGCAAGACACCAAGCTAGGATGCCTGTTTACAAAGAAGGATCCAAGACCTGGTGTGCTCCCAAGCACTGGATGCCCAAGAAGCACAAGCTTGTAATCATAAAGGGTAACATGGAGTTGAAGTAGCACCCATCATCAAAGGCAAGGGCAGCAGCAACGTTGATCAATGAACAGCAAATTGATTCAGGATTCAGATTGAAAATTCAAATATTTATGGATACCTCTGTACCTCATCCCAAAACTCCTGAGGCCCCTTCACCAGAAATAATCACCAGCAATGATCCCTAACCACAGATCCAATTTGTATTGAATCAATACTGAAAGTGGGTGGAGGAGTGGGAATGGGACAGGAAGCCAACACCACACAACAACAAAGAACTCAATGAGACCTGTGCTGGTTGTTTGAAGAAGACCTGCTTGAAAAGGAAGATCATGCAAAGGCTATTTAATTGGCTTGATTTGAGAGGCTGCACTTGCCTCCAAAGATGAGAGTTGGGGACAAACATGAGTGGTTCTTGGAGATCTATGGGTCTATAATGAGAAGGGAAAAGAACTACACTCCAGGCATTCAGTGTGCACAAGAGTTTGCTTATGATGAATGGGGGAACAAACTTCTCTTTTGATTCAGATGATGATGAGGAATTGTATGCAAAAGAGAACTAGCAACCCAAAAAAGCAAACAAAAAAGCAGCTGAATTAGCAATCAAATAACAAATTGGTTCAGCAACCAAACAGGACTGTCCATATTTAACCTAGACTGCTTCTTAATTATTTTGTTTGTTACACTGCTTCTATTGGTCCAACCACTCCACGACCACTGACTAATCCTCTAGAACTACTAGCAGTGTCCTCCTCATCCTCATCCTCAGTATCCAATAAGTATTTCATGTATTCAGTGGTAGTATCTCTGAGCTCATCATTGCTATGAGAATTCCAGCCACTCCTATCGCAAACTGTTTTGTCATTCCTTACCTTTTTGAAAGACCAATCATCTCTTCCAAGACCAAACCACCATTCATACTAATTAGGGTAATTGCCATTACTGTATTTGGTGATTAACTCCCCATTGAAATTCCCTTTCCTGTAAGAAGCATTCCAACCCAAAGGGACTTTGCAGATGCTACATATTGAGTAAGTTCCTGCCCCATACACCATGTAACAAGGATTTTTGTTCCTGGATTTTGCACAAAGAACCACTGCCACCATATGCCTTTTATACTCCTTCTGTATGAAGCAGAACCTTCCATTGGCCTGGTTCTCTTTGGTGGTCTGCAAGTTATGATATGCAAGCAACTTGCTGTTCTTGAGAAAAGTCTTGCATGTCTTCCTTCTAGAAGCCCTCCTGTTCCTGATTTTTCAATGTGCTTGTGTGCACTGCCTTGGTCCAGTATCACAATTATAGACCTGCTCCACTGGAGCATATTTGATCATCCTCAAGACATGCCTCTGACAAAACTCGTGATAGCTCACCATGTTGCTTACCTTCCACTCTTCACCAACAAGGCTGGTCTGATTTGATGTCCCTCCCCTTCATTGGCATCAGAGATTTACACAGTAGTGTATCTTGTCATGTTGTTGTAATAAGTTAGCTTCTTCTGCAAACCCCAGTATCCCATTTTTTGCAAATAAATTACTTAGAAGTAAATTGGGAAAAAACAGATTGTTCATTTTCAAGTTTATCTTGACAATCAGTCATTCCATTACTTAAGAGTACCAAATTGCTCCAAGGACTCAAAAAATCAGACAAATTTGTGATTGGTCATTCCAAGATTGAAGAGAACTAAATTGTTCCAAAAACAAAGCTGTGATTTGGTTGTTTCACAATGTTGGAGAACAAACTTAATACTCCCAAGATATTGTGATCAGTCATTCAGACATTAAAAAGAACCCAACAATAATAAATTTGGACAGCTTTGGCTACAGTTATGGCTATGACAGGCATGATGCAACAACTGACACCTTGTTGTTGGACAAGATTGAGTCCTGCAAAAAACACCACCAGTTCCTCTAAAAGAAGTTGGGGAAGAGCATCACAGAGCATAGCAATGCTAATGCCAACACCAACATTGACAGTCTCTACAACAACATTTGGCCACCAGCAAAAGGGCTAAATAGTACTAAACCAATAAGAAGGAGTCATTGTCATGATTGGTAATTCCAATATCATCAAACTGGTTATTTTTACATGATGAAGAAAAAATCCCATTCCCAAGACTTGGTGAATTCTGTCAGCACACCAAGCCATAGTACAACCATCCAAACAGAAGTGGAAAAGCCCAAGACTAGCAGCCAAAAGAAGTGCATGTTGTGAAGAACTAACAGAGGTATTATGGAAGCTAGAACCATCACTTCTTGCTGGTGGGAGAATGTTATGCAAAAAGTATCATCACAATGTACACAATCATTGACTTGCCAATGTGTAAAACAAATATGAACAAACTGTCAAGCAACAATGATACCACGTAGCAATCAAGATTTCAGGGAACATAGAGTGAGATCAGGGAAAACAAAGTTTGGTGGAAAAAATATTGTTTAGCGTCATGAATGCTGCACTTATCTTTCAAGTGATGATCTACTAACAATGAACAAACTTGATTCAATCTCATGTTCTTCACCAAGCGCAGGACATATTCCAGATAAGGACTCACAATTCTTGAATCACACATTAGTATGGTCTAGATCACAGAAGAAGTCAAAGTACCAGATTTTCATGGAAATTGAGCTGGTGATGTGGGAATACATTGAGGAAATGAAAGGGGAAAATTCAAGAATTATAAAACCTTGGGACAAACTCCCAAAAGATATTTGCTTTTGCAACAAACAGCAATGCAGAAAAAGGTGCAATAAAAAGATAGCATATTTTCTGAGTTTCTCAAAACAACACATTATAAAATATAAATGAGAGATTACCAGATCACACTATTGCTATCAAGGACTCAAACCTAAAACTGTAGATAGACAAAAAAGAAAATACAGAGACATACCAGAATTTTAGAAATACTGGTGCTTGCTAAATGCCAGATCAGATACTGACAATTTTGCAGGTACAAACAAATCTCTCCAAAGGATATGTCCAATGCTTAAATTGTATGTTGATGGACCTGTCATGATCAGTGGCAACATAGATGTTGAAAAGTCAAAAGCAAATGGAGCAATTTGTACATTCTTCAAATCTATCAAACTGAAAAATGGGTACCAAGATTGTGAAATTATTGACATTGATGGATTTTATGTTTGATTTGTAGATGCTGAGAAAGTTGAATGGATGGATGTAGTCCTTGAAGAAGAAGACTAAAAATGTGATCACTTTAACTCCTCAAAACACTGCTGTTTTGATGACCACAAGAATATGAATCAACAAGAATCACCAATGATCAAACTCAAACAGGTCACAAAGGAATATGTTTCACTCAATTTCCAATCAATATTACTAATGAGGGAACTTTTCACAAATTACAGGGGGGATCTTTTGAATGTGAACCTACTACATAGCTAAAAGTCATTCTACCGCAACACATAATTTCACATTTATTGCCAAAACACCACCATCTTCACCATGGTGAGGAGACTGATTGCTTTACAACCAGAGCACCTATGAACACAAAAGGGTGCAGTTACAAAGCTCCTTGTCTGCTTAATAAGCAAGGGCGTTGAATGTCATTTGTGTTGCATCTAATTTCATTGAGCTACTAGTACTGTATTATTAAAAAGGGCAAAACAAAACAAAATTGTTAATTTCAGCACTACCCATGATCAGCTGGTGTATCTTGACAACCAAGCAATGGGTCTTCATGAGAATTGGACAAGTGGAAAGAACATTATTCAATTTGTACACCTAGAGGACATGTTGGCTTTGCTTGCTAAGGAGCTGTATTTGGTGCCAAATAAATTTTTGAAACTGGGCATATGGAGCAAGGAATTAAGGAGGAACAACAACACAACATGGCGTCTTGCAAAACAACTAGTAAAGAAGAGCTCCCTGGGTCAGACTGAGTAGCACAAATTGAATGAGGACTATTAGATTGAGGGGTACAGAGCAAGAACCGCCATCAGGCAACTTTTGGTTCAGAAGTTATGTGCAACAGTCTGGAACAAGGGAGAGGGGCCAGAAATGGTGCAATTGAAGTAACCACTGGTGGCAACATCCAAATCATAGAAAGGAGAGCTTCCTGGTCAATTCTGAGTTAGCGAATTGAAAGAGGACTATCAGATTGGGGGGTACAGAGTAAAGAACTTCTGGTGTCAGTTGCATTTTGGTTATGCAATGAAGACTGCTGCTGGCTGTACTATATGGTTTACTATGGTTTATATTTCCAAAGCAAGTGAGGAAACATAGTTGATGAATTATACTACAGCAAGAGTTGGTTGTGGAAACTTTGTGTTTAGTATATGGTTTATTGTGGTCGCTGTTCACACTGTTGGAGGAATTCTTCTTTCTCTTCCTTGTTTTTCATCTTAATGCTCATAGTAACGTCCCAAAGAGATTTCTTCTGTAACTTGTTTCTATATCAACCCAAGGCAGTGTCCTCAATCTTGATTGGACTAGTGTTTTAAGGCCAAAATTGGCTGGTTCCCTAGACTGGCTACGGCATAGTAGGAAATAGGAGGCAGAGGACCAGAACTCTAGTAGTAGTACTACTAGTAGTATAAAAAGAAAAAACAAGAACTTCTTTAGACCACCAGCAGACTAAGCGCCCAGACCAACAAGATGATACAATTACTTAGAGATTCATGTCATTGGGATGCTTAAGGATGTTCTGGCGGCTTAGAACAAGTAGTCTGCTGAAGTTACAGTAGTGTATGGCCAAAAGTCATGTGTTAATTCTACTACTAGTAGTAGCTGTAATTTTACTCCGAATTAACTCGTACCGTAGGTACTGTAAATAACAAGTAAATCTCAATTCATTTGATGTTGTCATGACCATGTCAAATCAAAATTGCTGGAAATCCGTACCGCTACGTGACGAACGGCTTCCCAAAAAATTAGATGCATGACTAACGCTAAGCCCGCCGTCATACTCCATATTGACTTCGTAGAGAGCAACTTGGTCTACCTGCTCCACGATGATAGCGTCAACTTTTCGCTTGCCGATTGTTGTCTTGATGTATTTTCTTTCTTTCCAGCTAGGCATTTCATCTGCATTCGTCGCGATACCGACGGCGCTTCTGTACCAAACAGTCCCCACATACATTGAAGGCAAACGCAAGAAAGAATTTGACCTTAACTCCAAGTTTATTCCCGACGCCGATGATACAATTCGGGTTAGAATTTGGCGAGCGTTGAGTTCCAAGTTCGGTGAGGAGGTTTCTCTGAAAGAGTTGGGTGCGATGGTGGGTGAAAGGCGGATGGGAGAGCTACGATCTCATTTACAGCACGTTGAAAAGCAATCGAGAACACTCCGGAATAAAAGCGCTGAATGGAAGGAACGTCGAGGATTAACGGGCACAAAATTCGAACGCGATTCCAAGATACGAATACAGATTCGCCGGGGGAAGAAGAATATGCTCTCCATCAAACTTTGCTAAATTGCACAAGTCGGTGCAATTTGATGTCAAAAGGGTTGACCTGACAGAGCGATTTTAAGTTTTTTGTAGCGTCTCGTTGTAAACGTACTATGAAACTAGAACCATGTTCCTAATCATGACACCGCTCTCGGACAGAGCTAGGTCTTCTTTATTATTATACCCTTCTATAATGCAACGAGTTTTTCATTTACCGAGTCTGCAGTTGGAGCATCTCCTTTCACATTCACAACAGCAAAGTCTACATCTCTTGCGCTATTGCCCTCCATGAGTTGCGCTGTAACCTCAGCAAGGGTACTTCTGAGCGTATCTCCTAGCAATATGTCGCCTTTACCAAGATTTACGTCCTGGGTTTCGGAGTCTTTGTCTAATTGGAAAAGTGTTCCAAGATAATAATTATTGTCGTATGGTCCTCCAAACAATTGACCTGGCCTTACGATGGTGTAAGAAAAGCCGTCCTCGGATGCCGAATCCATGAGTGCTTGCTCACCGGCAGCTTTAGCGTCCAGAACACCGCATGCGTTCAAAATGGGAAAGGGCATGCTTTCTCGGCGAGTCACACCTATCGAGCTCAACATGATGGCGCGCTTCCGGCTCACCTTGGATGATGCTTTCCAAGCATCCAAAACGAGCTTGTTACTTAGATTATCAACGTTTCGGGGCGTGTTCAGCCCTTTTGCGTCCAGTTGGTTGAGGGCTTCCCGCACATCGAATTTTGAGTCCAAAAGCGCGTTGATAACCTCGGAAGTGACAGAAAATTCCCCGGATCGGGACCATGCCTTGGTTGGAAAGGCTGTTGTTCCTGTGCAAATAACAATAGCATTGGCGTCACACAGTGCAGGATAGAGCGAATCGGGGCAAGACAATGTTTCTGGTTTGGAGGTCGATGTCACCTCTTCCAACAGGTCTGTCTCGAACAAAGAGATGCTGTCTTCTCGTCCCTCGAAAAAGGGTTTGACGGAGTCCGCATTCCGAACGATTCCATTCACTTTGTACGTATCTGACAGGCGAAGGGCTACCAGCTTTCCGACGTTTCCGGAGGCACCAACAACTGCGACTGTATCACCAGGTTGAAGTATTCCACCATTTGTGGTCTTCAACAACCCTTTCCCTTCTCCTCCATTCCCAGACCACGGAAAGTTAGGCATTTGGAAGTTCCCAAAAGAAAGGCATCGTCCAATCGTAAGGGCGAAGAACAATGTAATTCTAGTCGTCATTGTTGTCGCTTGCGCCTTCATCTTTGACTGTCAGTGCTGTTGGAAGCGAAAATGCTTTTGAAGCGTAGTTCCTTATATGACAGATTTTAATAAGATCGTCGACGAGAATGCTTTCTCATACGAAGTACCAAAGGATGGTTCAAGCTACCGTCGTCCTACTGCTACCTGCTTCTTAATATCATTGTTCTCTCACGTACGTACGTACGTACGTACTTACGTACCGATACCGATTGTATTGTTGATTGTTGCCCAGTAAGTAATTTTGGATTTTGGCCACGTACCGTACCGTACTTGGGTACCATAAGTACCGTACATGCATTTTTGTTTGGGAGATCTTTGCTTTGGTTCAGGAATAGGAATCGAATACGACGAACGAGTAGACTGCAGTACGTACTTTACCATACGTGCGCTACTTCTACTTCGTATTTTAATATTTTTTGTGTTTTTTATTTTTTTCAATGAAGTAAATTTTAAGGTTAAAGTTAATTCATATTTTCGACTCCTACGATTAACTGGGCGTGAGAATTATCACGGGAGGAAATGGATTATCTGTTTTCTAGTAGACCGGAAAGAAGTAACTGAGTAGTTTGTGCGGCCGCATCTACGCAGCCTCAAATTTCGTCTTCCATCCGCGTCGCTTGCTTATCATCTTCATTGCACCAGCCGCTCCGTTATTGCACGATAACACTCCACCCACTACATCTTAACTATTTTTGAAAATAAAAGGATTAACCATGGCCGACGTAGAAGAACCAGTTGAAGATATTGTCGCCGACGAAGAGGTCGAGGAAGAAGTTGAGGAGGAGGAAGAAGAATTTGTTGCCGTTGGAGCCAGTGAGGTCAAGCTTTTCGGAAAATGGGCATTCGATGACATCGAAATCCGCGACCTCTCCCTTGAGGTGAGTGCCGTAGTAGTAGACAATTTTTCGACTCGACTAGGCAGAGAACAAACACATCAACACAGACGGATTGCAATGCTACCGAACTGCCTCAATGCCATCGAGTTTGATTACCTCAAAAACGAAACAAATACTAACAATTCCGAACCTTTTTATTCGCGCACAGGATTACATTGCTTGCAAGGGTGACCATGCCGTTTACCTTCCACACACTGCCGGACGTTACCAACAAAAACGATTCCGCAAGGCTTCGTGCCCAATTGTCGAGCGTCTCGTATGCTGCCTAATGAAGAAGGGACGCAACAGTGGTAAGAAGCTCATGGCCGTCCGAATTGTTCAGCACACGTTGGAAATCATCCACTTGTTGACCGACCAAAACCCTATCCAGGTTGTTGTTGATGCCATCATCAACTCTGGTCCTCGTGAAGATTCCACCCGTGTCGGAGGAGCTGGTGTTGTCCGTCGTCAAGCCGTTGATATGTCTCCTTTCCGACGAGTCAACTACGCTCTTTACTTGTTGGCCACCGGAGCCCGTGAAGCCTCCTTCCGTAACTTGAAGACCATGTCCGAGTGCCTTGCCGAAGAATTGATCAACGCCGCCCGAGGTTCATCTAACTCTTATGCTATCAAGAAGAAGGATGAGATTGAACGTGTTTCCAAGTCCAATCGTTAAACAAGTCCATGCGTGCTTCTTTCTTCCGCGCTTCTTGGTTGGTGCATTTTGATCGTAGCTGCAGTTATAATAAAACCCCTTTATTTTCAAAAAAAAGTCAGATTCTAGAAAAGTACATGGTTCAAGAATTGGTGGGTTCCCAGAGCATAGCAAGTCGCAGTACGATACAACATGCACAGGTATAGTATCGTCAAACAAGAAGCAAAGAGTTCGCAATTTCATTGTGTGAAGGTTTCAGCCAGGATTACTCTCAGTACGCGGTCGAATTGCGAGAACCACTCTATTGCAAAGAACTATGCTCCAAGAAAGACGCATTTCGTTTCGTTTCAAACGCATTGGTGGCGAGACATCAAAAATCGTGTTTCAAACCAAGGGATAAGAAGTGGCATCATGGTGGCGATTAACAGTTAGATTATAGCCGGGCGTGTTCTCTCGGCGATGCTTAGATTCGTTCGTTTCCCCCACGACGAAAGTCAACTGCCAAGCCGCCAGGCCTGCCAGCACGAGTTTTCGCGATATTCTTGGGTGCTGCCTTTTGTCTCCCGCGTGACCTGGCTTCCGAAGGGATTCCTCTCGGATTCCCAAAGGATCTCGGCGCGACAAGGATTGAATGGTGCCGTGGTCTTGTAGCCGGTGCCTTCGTTGGCTTCCTCCGTGCGCATCGAGGCAATGGCCTCGGATATGACTTCCTGGTCTTCTTGGCATTCGTCCAGGGTATACGCCGTGATCACGATTGGTATCCCGCCGATTTTTCTGGTGCGTTCGTCGTCAGCGATTGCTGCAGTCGCTTCCGCCGTCGACAAAGAAGCAGTAGGGAAGCTCGCCAGGTACTGAATCGTGGTTGCCCATTCTTGGTAGCCCCATATCCCTGCGTTGAATGCCACCGCCAAATCCGGGGCTATCTTCGTACCGAGAAGCAAGCCGTCCGAAGGCTTTTGGTCGCCTTCTTCCCTTGCCAGTTTGAGCCGTTCGTCCAAAAACTCGTGATACACCCCGGAATGACAGGTTGCGGTGGCGCTAATAGACGACGCTGCCGACTCCATCAGGTCCACGACACCCTCGGTCGTTGTCATCAGCTCGCGGCCGATCAATCGAAAGTGTATCCGAATGCGTCGCTGTCCCCGTTCGAAGAAAAGGTAGTCCCGGACCCACCGGACGAATGGGCGGAAGGTGTCTCGAATGGTCGACGCGTTTTGGCACTCGACGTGGTCGACGCCCACAACGTCGATCAGGAGGCAATCGTCCGGGAGCGCGGCCAGGAGCGACAATCGCACCATAGCTTCGGCAAGGGTTGCGGATCGAGTAAGGTTCGCCGTGGCCCGGCGCGACGCGGGCGTTGGTTTTGGTCGGTAAAATTCGTGGCGGGAGGCCTTTGGAATCAGCACGTGCGAGTGATCTGTGTTTTTGTTGGTCTGTTGCTGTTGCTGTTGCTGTTGCTGTTGCTGTTGCTGTTGCTGTTGC